TGTCCCTCTTTACTAAGAGGCACAAGAACAACCATTCTACCATTAAAATAATGATCCGGCTTCTGCTATTAAAGTTGAAGGCTGAAGGATAATTTGCAGGTTGTTCATGTTTTGTTTAGTTTAGTTTTGTTTTGTTAACAAGACATCTTAAAATATATTTAATTCTAGATTTGTTCTGTGGTTCTGAGTCATTTTGAACCTTCCTTCGGTAGTTATTATTTTTGCTATGATTGATATTGTCACATAGCAACATACTGTTTTGTGGATTGATGTATGTGCCTGCTGCTGCTGCTACACCTGAATTTCCCCGTGCGGGACAATAAAGGCTGTTTCTATTCCAGTTAAAAATGTGGTCCTCTGTCCTAATCATTCAGTTCATTCAAACTCAAGAAACACTTTGTCTATTTATGTTGCAAAATTTTGTTAAAGTCAGTAACAGAACACAAAAATACAGATTTGTATTTGATTTTAAAATACACTGGTGTAAATGGTAAATATAACAAGAGAACTTGCATTTTCTGCAAAAATGCAGAGTGAATGCTTAATGCTGAAGGATTTTTGCAGAAAGAATTCACTATTTGTTGTAAAATAGCCAAAAAAACTAAAGTTAGAAGGAAGCGTCTGAAAAAGCTCACATAAAGAAAAAGAAAAAGTACCTACCTGTTTGCTAAATTAAGCTGAGAATTTCACAAAACATGCATTTGTCTGAAAATAGTTAAAATAGCTAAAAAGCAGCTAAAATAGCAGGAAACAACTGAAATGATCAGAATAGCTAAAAGATGCATGAAAAGCCAAAATTAGCACAGGGAAGCTGAAAGCACAAAAATGTTAAATTAGCAGAATAGCTGAAAAGTGTAGAAAGACAGCTGAAAAAGCAAAGTGAAAATGTTTAAAATTAGCAATAAAATAATTAAACAAAACAAGCTGAAGAAAGCAACACAAAGATGTTAAAAAAGCAGAACCAGAACAAAAGGTGTGCATCCAAGTATTATAATTATTTTTCAATGAAAGCAGAAAAAGCTAAATATCTCATAGTATAAATTGCTGAAATTTTTGATGTCCAAAATGTACAAAAATTGGGAACGAGTGCTTAATACGTTCAGAAGAAAGATGGATCATCTCAAAGTGTGAATGCTTGAATTACACTGGTTTATGGAAAATACAGACTGCTGCAGAGAAGAAGTTCTCCACTCTGTTTCATGCCTTTCAAAGGAGGATTATCAAGAAATTCTCTTTTGCAAATTGTTAAAATTTAAAAAAAAAAGATAAAGAGAAAAAAGATAAGCATTATTTTAATAAAATAAAGGTTCTGTTTAAATTAAAACCAGTAAAAAAAATAAAACCACTGGTTACCACATTTTTCACAAGTCTCACTGTTTTGTTTTCAACCCACTGCTATAAGGAAAAAAATGAGTTAAACCAGTCAGCAAAGTCATGCAGTGGTGAGCCTTAATCAAATTAATTTATGTTGAAAAGAGACACAAATCAACAGCAAACTTGGTGTCATGCAAAGCTTGTTTAAATTAGCTTATTTCTGTATAAAGGACAAATAAAAAAGGTGAGAAAACACATCAGCAAGGACCGGAATAAAGAAAACACTAATATGCCACTGACTCCTAAACAATAAGACCTTGCCATTATAAAAAATAAAACAAATAAGTTTAGAGTTAATTGTATAATGCTTCTGTATCCTAAAAGAGTCCAAATTAAATAAAGTTGTTAGTGCTTTCTATAATAAGTCATTAAACTGAAAGAGAAAATTGCAAGATTTACATATGAAGTCTGAGTTATAAATCTGTTCTAACATAATCTAAGAGAGTAACAAAGTACATTTACTTTGTTACAGTTCTTGAGTAATTCTTTTGATTGTTTGTAATTTTACCAATTAGGTTTTTAATTATAAGTTTACTTTTATTTTGTTACATTCAAAACACAAGGATTTATGTACTTTCACACTTTGAAATTTAACAGCTATAGTTACACATTACACTTTTAAATATGACCCGAACTCATTACGAAAAGAGCTGTTTATGCACTCTAAAAAATAAGTGTTAACTTTACTTAACCAATTTATGTCAACTTGTTCCACTAAACTGAGTTGAGTAAATGAAAATAAAATTACATATTTTATTTAAGATAAAATATGCAAATAGCTCAATTTACTCAACTCAGTTTAGTGGGGTTTGGTTATTTAAATTCAATATTTGATTTTTTAAGCGTCTGTGTAAAAATACATTTATATTCTCAATTACTGGGAGCAGTTTTTTGACATTTGCTTAAGTACTTTTCTAATCAGCAAAATAGATTTTTACCCAAGTCGTTTTCTGTTAAGGTGTTTTTACTTTTACTTACACCTCTGCCTAATCCTGTTAAAATAAATAAAGCTTTAAGAAAACTTAATTATTTTATCTCTGCAGATTCAATTCATTCAATCTCATAACATAATTTTCCTCTTTTTGACTGCAACACCTTGCATAGACAGGTGTAAACTTCTGATTTTGTCAAACTGTTAGCATATTACAACAATGCAAACTTCTCGCTAACAAGGTTATTTAAATCACGGCAGAGAGTCTATTAAAAGTCTAATTTTCCTTCATAAAAACGGATTCTTTCACTGTTTTCTGTATCACATTGTGGAGCTGAATTTATTGATCTGGGAGCTTTATTTTAGAAGAACCTTGCCATCTAATGTAGTGCACTGTTGGCAGCAAAGAGACATACTTGTAAAATATAATTGAATTCTAATTGTGTTTGCACTAATGCTATGTCAAGGCAGACCCTGGCCTAAATTGTCCGGTCTGTAGGCCATTTGGCAGCAAAAAGGCTCTTGGCAAGTCCCCACAACAGGTGAATGGCATTGGTCTAATAGGTTATCTGTGGAAAACACGTTGCAGTCAATTAAGAGTCCACTTCCTGAGGTTGTGATGGCCATTAGACGAGCCAACCACAACAAGTGACTCTTCAGCGGCTTTTACTCTTCAGCTACTCGTTCCTTTTTCACTCATAGTGTCCTTAAGCTGCCCAGTCCCTCAAAGACGTATGTTTTGTTGTCTACTAGGCTTTTTTAGGTGCTTTGGAAACAGTTTTCCTCTCAGTGTTTCTACATGACCCTGATGTCCAAATAAAACCACTTTTACAAGCTTATTTTTTCCACTCTCTCTTGTCCTCGAATGTTTTTTTCGTCTGCATCACACAAAAGGACCATAAAGCTCTTCCTTTCCTTTTGAGAGGACATCCTTTAGAGTCATTACGCAATAAGTGAATGTGAAAGTTCCAAACATTTGTTGGACATATTGGACATACTATTATGGTTTAAAATGTATGTACTGCACAACCCCAAACAATGAACACTACCATTATACACACACACACAAACCCACACTCTTACCTAATAATAAGCATTTGACTCCATTAATTATTGGGTTGGTATTTTCCACGACTGAAACAAATGGCATCTTTCCAAAGAGACAACTTTTTCCCCAACAACTTTTTTTAAAGGTATTTGTTAAGTTCTTATGAGTCTAACTTGCTTTCAAACTTGACTGTCCTGTGGAACAAGTGGAAGACAGGACAGCATGATGATTATTTTCTTTAACGTTTAAACTGGTCCTCCTCAAAGGAAATATTCACAAAATCCATTTTTTAAAACATGGATCACAATTGATACTGTACATTTTTTTAATGCTTGCATCATAAAAAAGTTTACCCTCTTTTATAATGAATTTCTGGATACATTTTTAAAAAGCAGCAACTGATGGAAATGAAACATTTAACATTTAATGAATAGTTTTATAAAGTTAAAAACTTTCTGTGAAATCTTTATACAGCATTATGTGGTGGTTTAGTAAAGGCCACTGTGGCATAAAATAGAAAAAGCCATTCCTGCTATGGAGTCTTTAACTCCTTAGCTATAAATATCACACAAAAGGCTGACAAAAATCTCATTTCCTACACGTGTTGGATTGTTTGTCTTTTAACAAAATACATTGAAAACCACTGAATGCATGGAACTTTCAGGAAGTAATTATTAGATATATCATATATCCCAGATGATGAACATTTGGAATCAGTCTAATTCAACATGGCTGTCATTTAAGCGATTTTGTCAAACACAAAATAGCCTAAAAATTGGTCAATTTTACAAACATAAAGTTGAAATTTGGAGTGATTGTAGCTGAGAGTTCTCTCAAGCACACATTATGAATGCGAGCAGATCATGTTACATCTTTGTTTTAAACTTACATGAGAGGCAACCAGTGACATGCATTCCTTGTTTTTTTATGATTTGAATACAAATTTACGGCTGTAATGTTTAATCTATTTTACTAAAAATTCTGTTTGTGGATCAGGAATGTCAAAACTGTCTGCATTGTGCTAAACATAAACAATGTAAAGCAAGTTTATGTTAGTCGGCTTCAATCAAAGTAAAAACAGTAATTTCTTTTTTTTTTATTTCGTTGTTCTTTGCATTTCTTTAAAGCTGGAATAAATCCAGCAGACAACCCTAAATGAAAAACAAAACCATTGACCACAAAATCATTCTCAAGAGTTTTAATAATTTACTAAAAAACAAACAAAAAAACAAACAAAAAAAGAGTGTAAAAGTAACAGATCACTCAAGGTGATCCGTCTGATAGCCAAAGTGATAATTGGTATAACAAATTTTTGCTCTTGTCTGTACATTTTTTGTATACTTACTTGGCTGTAATAAAATGACTGTTGGACTGATCATATATATATATATATATATATATATATATATATATATATATATATAAAGACGGCAAACTATGAGTTTCTTTAAAATAAACCAATCAGCATAAAATATACAGCTTTAGAAAATCCAAAAGAACATTTCAGAAGTGTCTATACAAGCATGCGAACAAAGAGCAGACTCATGAAGGCCTTTCGGATGATTCGCTTGACATCATTTAGAAAAAAAGCAATGATATAAAGCATCATTCTTAAATATCTGATAACTTTGAAATAATATGGTTTTCATTGTCTTTTCCAAGTTATTATGGGCATGAAATGAATATGTTATAAATATACAGCATACCACATCTCTTGCATCAATTTAAATTATAAACTTGTTAAATAAAAAAGTAAAAAACAGAAATTCTGTGTGAATAGAATTTAAAAAGGAACAAAAATGCATCATGTGTCCACCCTCCTTTATCGATAAGTGCCTGCGTAGAAGAGGTAATACATATTTTTGTATATACATTTATTTATATATATATATATTTATATTCATATATATCAAATTTTAAGACATGATATAATCTGTATAAATATGGCATTTTTACAATTGCATTAAATTGACAAAAAATGTTTTTTAATCCCATGACAATTAACTGATAGCTGGGGGAAAAAAACTTTGTTTTTTTTTTTGTTTTGTTTTAAATATTAAAAATAAGTCTCAATTCTTTGTAAATGTATGCCTTTCATTATAAATAACAAATCTTTCCTCACTGAGTGTTTTCCAAGGTGTGTTAACGACAACACTTAGGAAGGTGAGGCAAAAAGTGCCTTTTAGCGACTGTTTCCCCCTCAGGAAAAAAGAAAAGTTTCGGTACCAGCTTAAAGTCCAGAGAATGTAACAGTGCAGTTCAAGTACAAAAACGTAGAAACATCCTTGCTGCAATAAAGCTGCGTATTTGTGTCGACACAACGCTTTGCTGGTTAGAAGTTCCTTTTTCTCAAAACTTCTTTGTTCATGTCGTCCTCCGATGCTTCGATTAAAAAAAGCCCATCATGGACATGATAGTACTCTCATGGCTGCAGTTGTGGATCCATATGTTTCCCCTCTTCCACGCACCGCGACAGGCACTGACTCAGTATTAAAAGTACACACTGAACCGGGCCTTCACAGTTGTCCAACATCACTCTCCTGGTTCGTTGCGGTCTGACTCGCTCTGTCGTGTATTTTGGCCATGAAATCCACTCAGAACAACCGAAGAGCTCTGGTGCTCCCTGGTGGTCAGAAAGAGGCACAGGGGAAGGAAAAAAACAACAACAACCCAAACAAAACGTGGGTTATTATCAGTCCAGCGGGCTAAAGCATGTTCAGGATGGCGTTGTACATCTGGATCAGCACCGCCAAGTGGACAGGCAGGCATGACTGGCGATCCTGTGTGGCGGGCGTGCACGTCAGCCAGGACAGGGCGTTGTACTGCTCCAACACAAACCTGTACATGAACAGTTTTACATTATAAAGGTGTTTACGTCAAACATAGATAACTACAATTTGCCAATATGAAATTTTTAGAAATAAATTATTGACGATTATTCCTAGTTAAAGCAATGACTTACCTTAGCACATCGGAGGTGGTCTTTGAGTCTAAAGGGTGAGGGGTCCTTTTATTCTTATCAGATGTGATCTCTTCTGACTGTGCGATGGAGATGTGATGATGGAGAGAAGCCTGAGGAGAAAAACACAGTAAGAAATGAGCTTTGTGTTGCTACGACCAACTACACTATCAAAGCATAATAAATCCAATCAAAGAATAAACTTGTATTTTTTTATTGCTTTTTTTGTGTTTTTCTTTTCTAAATCACGCCGGCTTCACGAGCACCTGCACACGCGGTGTTTTGCAGTACCTTGAGGAAGAGTGGGCACTGGTTCTCGGCTTGTGGGCAGGAGGCCCAGAACCAGTGAGGCAGTCCGGTTGTTTGTGCCGTGGAGACGTAGTAGCCCAGAGCAAGTGGCTGCTGTTTCAGCTCCTCCGGGGGGTTGTCCCTGGACAGCAAGCGCTCTCCCTGGCTCTGCAGACACAACGCAACAGCACCAAACCATTACCATCTTCACTCGTTTCTTGTCTTCTGATATGGCCGCTAAGTTATTCCCCTATTTTACAATTTATATCTTGATTGCAGGTTGTGTTTCTTAAACATAAAATTTCATCATCCTTGTAAAAACTGCACTTAATACAAACATTATATTAAATGCTTATGCTAAACTGAAAAATACAAGTTGATATACTGCAAGTTTACTTTTTTATTTCAAATCAAAATGTTTAGTTAGTTGATTCCAGGATTTAATGAGACAAACAAACCTAGGAGGATTTATAAATATGCAACAAATCAAGTTTAGAGCTGTTTTTTATTAATTGTAAGTTGAAAAGCTAAGATGAACAAATTAATTTAGGGTTTTATTAAATAATTTTATATATGGCAAACATTTAGATCAGTGGTTCCCAAACTTTTTATCTTCTGACCCATAAAATATCCATGGCAAAACTTGTGACCCCAAATATTACTGGTCTGAGTACACAAACTTCATTAATAACCCTAAAAACACAGGATTTTTGACAACCCAAACAGCTTGTACACAAATACAAATACTTATTTATACTTTTTGTGTGTTTTTGTAATAGTTATAGGGAAAATATTACATTAGCAATTATTTTATTACCCTTTAAATTGATTTCTGGATATTATCCAAGGTGCTTCATGACCC